CCTTAAATAACTCCATGTTGATACTTAACTTTCGTAATTTTACGTCATAGACTGAAATGATAAAAGTATTTTGTTTCGCATTCCGCCTCTACATGTTTTTCTTCACTGCCTTGTCATTTCTTTATAAGATGTTTGGATCATATGATTTATTTGACAACATATTACATAAGTAGACACAAGAGTACAATAAAACAGGCACTGAGCATAAAAATGATATAGTTTGAGATACAACAATCAATCTTTGACTTAAATCATTCTCTATCGAACGAACAAACAAAGTATTATTTACAGTGGTTGCGCCTAAATTAGACCTTCTCTGATTAACAATGTGACCTGCTGTTGAAAAACTCTCTTTCGACAAAAGTTGAACCATCTGGTATAGAGTTTATTCGACATACTCAACAAGCTCTAGTTGCTCCGTTTCGTCATTTATATAGTTCGTTTTTGTTTTTGACATTAGTCAGGAAAATCACTGTTACACAATAAAATTTTCATATCAACTAAATAATATCATTCTTTATGAAATACTCATATTCGATTTTGTTAATTAGTAAAACACATCATGATTTATTTCTTTTTAATATGAAATCAAGAAAAAAACAAGAACTTTCATTTGCCCTTTTTGTTCTCATTTGATACAATGACTATTGAAATAATTTAACGTTGTGATAATTGACCAGGAGGTGAAAAGAAACCACCAGATGCTTTACTTGCGGCACGTGATGGAGCAACTAAATAACAAATAATCCATATCAAATATCAAGTTGAATGAAAAAAACAAAATACTTACGACCAAATAGTTTTTGAACATTCTAAAATAAAGCAATTTTTACAGAAAATCTTGTATTCGTTTTTTTTTTGTTTTTACCTGTCGAATAGACATTGTGCATAAAACATAGAGAAAAATGAATGAACAATCAGTAAAATCATCACCAGATAAACTACGATGAGATAATCCACGTATCCATGGAATTGGTTCAAACGGAAGTTTAGCAACAACACGACCATCAAAACTAATGGACAAAAAGAAACAAAATCCAATAGAAAAATGATTTAGAAACATCTTAACATACATTGAATTAAACATGCCAAGTAATGCCATAAATGTAAAACTTGATGCAAACATTGATTTCATTTTAACCTATAATAAAAATTTCCATTTGAAAATTTTAATACAATTTTTGTTTTTTGTTTTACCATAGATAAATCTCGATTATTAACTTTTAGTTTTTCTTCTTGACGTTCTAAAATTAAAATAAATAAATATATAAAGATATTCATTTGAATTGAAAAATTAATTAACCAAGTTTTTTCTTTTGAACTTTATCTGCTGCATCACTAACAGTTTCTTTTTGACGTTCAACTATTAATTAAAACAAATCAATTACAAAATATTAGAATGAAAATAAAAATGTTCAACTTACGTCGTTTACTTGCTTTTTCAACTTCACCTTTTAATCTTTGATATTTTTCTGTTCGATAGACAAGAAGCCATGTAAGACCTAAATTAATTGAAAAAAAAAACAAGAAAATTAAAGAACATTTTTTATTATGAAGAAAAAAATTCTACCTTCACCAAGTAGTGCAGTTGCAATTGAGATAAAAATAATTAAAATTGTATCGCCTATCATGTTTAGAAATTTGTCGATGAGAATCTAGACAAAAAATAAGAGAAGAACGGAACGTACATGCGTGTAAAACTTATGTGTCGAAAAACATTGGACCAAATAAATCTCCGTTCATTGTGTATTGTAACAGATATCGCTAGAATTCAATCTGTTTGTCAAAATAAAATAATTCTGTATAAAAAAGTTGAGAAATAAAATAAACTCATTCGTGCCTGCAAAACAATGTCAAATGAGTTCAACTTAATTTTAATATTGAAGCTAATATTTAGAGATTTTTGCTGAATTTTTCATTTCAGATCTTTATTTTTGTTTCGAAGTTTTTGATTTGATTTATTATTTGAAAATTTCAAGATAATTTTCTTAATATTTATTGAATAAAAATGGAATTATTTCATGAATTTCAAACATTCATTCATAGTCTTCCAACAACAATCACAACAACTAATCTTAGTGGTGTTCGAGAAAAAGCCAAATTTATTACACCACTTAGTATAAGTAATGATGATATTCCAGAAAATTTTAAGTAAATTCGATTTTTGAGAATAACTTAAAAATTTTCCTTTTAATAATTTTTTTCTTTAGTAAAATGTCAGTTGTTATACTTCAAAATTTATTGAATTATCATGATGATAATGAAATGTTTCCTATTCCATCATTAAAATTATTACTCGATTTAATTGGTACATTTGACATATCCGATTCTATTACAAAATCTAAATTGATGTTATTATTACATGGTACAAAACTAAAATTATCAAGCGAAAGATTATGTTCTTGGTTTGTGAAAGTGGAACTAATGAAGGAAATGATAATCGATGATACACATGAACGTCTTAATCGATGGGAAACTCTTGCATCGTTAACATTAAATCATCCAGTTGTAAGTGAAAATTTCAAATCTTAGCTAAGATTTCCTTATATCGTATGAAAAAGTATTAGAGATAAATTAAGATTTAATTTCATTGTTTTTATTTTCATTTGGAATTTTGAAGAAATGTTTAAGTAAATTATTATGCCAAAGAAAATTCAAATAAACACAAAATCAATATCTATCTGAAGAAGATCAATGTACTTTATGGTCCGAAAATTAGAAGAAAAGAGAAAGATAACGAAAAGAACTTTTAAAAATCACTTTCAATAACGAAAGACAAAATACATTGACTTTTCGAAAATATTCTTTATCAATGTTTAAAAGATTTTCAGACGATTATTTTATGATTTACTATAATACACTAGTTTCAAGTCTCCAAAAGATAGCTCAGATGATCATTTTTTTTTCTATGAAATAGCGAAAAGTAAATATCTTTAAGTATTATAGTGTAGAAATGACATAGATTTTCATGATATCGGATCCATAGAAATACTTGTCCTACATTTCAAACATTATTGTGTAATTTGAATTTTTTTATGTGAACCTAAATTTTTCTTGTAGGTAATTGAAGTTATAAAGAGTTTAGCAACTGATGGTACAGGTATATGTTTACCAAATATTCTTTCATCTATTCAAGTGGAAATAATTGATTGTACCTTAGCTGGTTTACGAGGGTTTTGTGGAATTAATAAGATTTATATAAATGCAGCTTATATTCGTAGTCAAATGTCAACATACTCAACAACATTTCATCCTGATTCACCTATTGGAAAATCAGTTGTTGAAATGGACATATGTACAATAGCAATTCATGAATTTTGTCATGCAAGACTTAGACAGGTATTTACTATTATATTTTCTTCTATAATTGAAATCTTAACATTTTATTGTAATTATTTGTTTAACAATGGAAAAAAAGTTGTGAAATAAATATATTTAATTTCAGTTTAATATTTTCTTTAGATTACCAATAATCCAAACACATGTACACCAGATTTATTTCGCTCTGTAGCATGTTCTACTGTAAATGAAAGATCTGAATTTGGAAGATTATGCGAAATGGTCCTTTTTTTCGATAAAATTGATTATTGGCGATCAGCTGCCGACAATAAATGGGATTTGGATTATTTTCAAAAGTTCATTAAAGCAATTGAATCATCATCAGCTATACCACCATTTAATTCAACAAATAATTATATAAAACGTTTTCCATCAACAACATCTGGTCTTGATATAGATCTAACCGCTGATGATTATTATGTGTAAACGATTTTTATCAAGAATAAAAAGAAAAAGAAAAGGTTCGTCTTATTAATTAAATTAGAACGTATTGCAAATTTTTACTTTGAATATAAAAATATTTTTTTTATTATACGGCTTGTCCGGCTAACGGTCAACCAGACCGATTAAAGTAGAACCTATCTATTTCTCAAGGCTGACTATATCATGTTGTAGAGAACACTTTGCTCTGTCAGCAAATGTAGTCGTTTCTTTTTTCTTTCTCATAAAGGACAGAAAAGCTGCAAGGCAAACAACATAGGTAGACTTCTTGAAATATCTATACGTTTTCGTGCTTTTGAAGAAACTTTTGAAAAAAGAACAGAATTTTAACTAAAAATTGAAGCGTCATATATATTGCGCATGGCGAAGTTTGGACTTTCTTCTGATATAATTTTCAGCTGCTTTATGAGTAGTAGAAAAAAACGGGGAATATCTGAAAACTTCATCAAATCTGAAGTGAGTGCGTTACTGATTAGGGCTTTTAGTTTAGTTTACGCCACAATCATACAAGCATTTAAGTTGATACTTAAAAACCTCCGTTAACTTTCCATGGACTATCAAATGGCTAGGTTGGTTTTTACTTACATATTTTTTCTGCCGAAAAAAATGGTAACGCACTCACCTTACTGACCCACTTCCATGTTTTAAACCCCATATATGTATGTTTGATGGGATGGATTGTTTCTATAATAAATGGCTTTCAATATGATTTATTAATGTTGCTATCTTATAGAGATGTCAACAAGCCATGATTTCTCTTAGCTTCACGTATCGGGCTTTAGGCTAAATTAGATCTGGCAGGTAGACCTACGATCGGAGCTTAGGAGTTCACCAATTCATATTTGATCGGTTGATATGTTGACTGAGGATACGTGTGAATTACATTTTGCACCTTCATCATATATTTCATAGAAATCTCGACTGGCTATTTCCTCCTTTTTCGCAAAGAAATGACAAAATGAAACGAAAACCGAAACCATTACTCGACTGAAATATGGCATAAAAACTTAATAAATGAATATTTCAACTAGAACAATTTTTCAATAATATTTTGTCAAAGAAATAGATATAAAATTCATACATTCTTGTTTCTGGACGAAATATGCTATTCTGTATCGATTATAAGAGTGATTTAATAGATAACGGAAAAGTATTGAACAGGAAATAAATATTCAATTCCTCTATCTAAACATTTTATTAGAAAAAAAAATTTTTGCTTTTTATTTAAAATATTTCAATGAAAAACCTTTTAATATATTTTGTGTTTGTTGACTTACATTGAAACTTTTAAATAAACCAAATTTTTGTTCATTTTCATTTTCATTTTCATTTGTTAATTTAAGATTAAATTGAGTTTGATATCGAACAAAAGAATAACCTAAAAATAAATAAATAAATAAATAAGTTATCTTTTTTTTGTATTAATCAAAGATTAATTTACTTTGAACAAATAATTCTTTATTATTAATTCGATTAATAAATCCAATACATAAACGACGAATACCAAATGAATACGAAAACATTCTTCTTCTTTTTTATTTTTATTATCAAAAAATAAGTTTATTTTTAACTTAATAAAAATATCGTCTCGTAATAAACAATAAAATACGAACTTCTTAATTAATATTCTTTCTAATGTTTGCATAAGGTTCCCATTATTAGTATATTGATATTTAAGACTTTATCAATATACATCTGTAAGGTTTCTAGCTCTATTCGACAGATACGGATATGAAAAACTTGATAAAAGCATTACTATGAAATCAACCTTTAACAAAACACTAGGAAGTAACCTTAAATGTTGGTGACATTTAATAAGAATCGTAAAAAAACCTTCTGTTTATCATATATTGAATGAAAAAAAAAACAAAAAATATGTTGAACTTTTAAAAAGATCTTTATGATAAATAATTCGCGATCTAATTTTTGTGAATTTCAGATATAGTATATTTTTTGCTTTGAAAAAATAAATTTAAAAGTATTCATCCATATTTCCTTATCGTTCACTTAAAATTATATTAATTGAAAGCTAAATATTTTCAATCGAACAAATAAGTTTTTATATTCATTAAATAAATATGTATAAATAATAGAAGAAAAAAAGAAAGCAAATGGATCCTATAAAATATTAAATATCATTCCCATCGGCAATGGTAGAACCGATTGTTGTTAGAACGACGACATAATGAATCAATATGTCAAGACATTTACAAATCGTGTCGTTCAATTGTGCTAAATTTTATATGTTAGAAATATCCTAATTTAGATACAAAGTGTAATGTATAATGAACAAATTATTATTACAGATAAAAGCATGTATAATTATACATGAAAGAAATCTATACAAATTTTTGATATTGATACTCGACTAGCTGTATATCATGTAGAGATTTATATAGATGGCGTATTGATGTGTCAAGCAGATCAGTCTAATGAAAACAAACAGCTAGATAAATATTAAAAAAAAACAGTTTATTTTGATAGACTTTTGTCATTTGATAACTAGACCGTTTCGATCAATGTGTTCGTGCATCCCACGAGATCTTTTCAATAAACAGTAATATATATATATATACATTAGTCAATCTGAATGTCAAAACAAATCTTTAAGAAGTATGAATGTACCACATAAGAAGATGAAATTAATTTATCGACATTTTAAATGAATATTTCTAAATATATTTTTTATGACGAAGAGTTCACCTGAATACTTATCACAAGAAAAACCTTACAAATCACAAGTATCAAAAATAAAATAGTCGACCAAGAAAAAACTAAACTAAGATTTTCAAAGCTTTATATTTCATATAGATATCTTTCTTTTTGCTTGTCACAATGTATAAAAATTTTGATCTTTAACATTTTGTAAAAACAAATTGTTTGTTCGTCTTTCTTTTGTTTATTACAATCATTAGCAAATATATCAGAAAAGTGCATATTGTGTCCAATCTATTACCCATATCCCATTCAAGTAAATCAAATTTTGACACATGCACATGTGTATGCATCACTAGAATGTCTTGTATAAACACACGAGCATTCTCATCAATAAAGATTGTTATTATTTTCTTCCATCAATCCTTGAATGCAGCATACGTCTATAGAGATATAAAGAGAGATTATCAGTGACAATACAAGCAATGATTAGCGGTTTATTCTTTTCTTTCCTATTCTGCATTATATACGATATCACAAGCTGAATTATGATTATCTATATACTCTTTTTTTTTCTCTAGCGTCATAGATCTATATAGAATTATGTTAATACAAATTCAAATGGCATGTTGCTAGAAAAAGAGTAATACAAACAAGACGCGTCCGTACACTGCACGGAATCATTGATGATACGAACAATGATCACTGCAAGTAAACAAGATGAGAAAAAAGTGATTGGCATCACTGAGACATATGCTGTTAGGCTAGTATATAAGGAAAAAAAAGACGGATATAATATTGTGTGATGTAAGAAAGAAACGTTGTATTTTTGCCCGATTCTCAATAAGATAGATCATCGAAAAGTGAGAACATAATGATGATTTTATAGGTGGTTTGTTTTTCTGTTTTACACAATACGAATCATATTTAGTTGTCAATAAAATATCAATGAACGATTGTAACAACAAACAAACAAATATTACATGTACCGATATGTCAAATTGTAAACTTCGAATACATACAGTAAGTTTACTGATAGTACAATTTTTTAAATTACACATTTTGACTAAATACTGATAATAGATAAATGATCGAAGAAGTGTTTGCACAGAACGATATGAATCAGATTAATGTTTCCAGAAAATTTTTGAGAAATAGATCTTCGGAAAGTATTTGATAAAGTATTAATTAGCACTAATAGATAAACAGAATTGTGTATGATTGTCATTTAATGATGCAAACCTTTCCAACACATATTTCTTTGTAGACGTCTGATGTAGATATTCAATAATTTTGCAGATGTCGCTCTTTGAAAATTTCTTTCATACATATAAATACTTTTATATTATTATTGATTCTATTGAATAATTATTTTCTATTTAAACAATTATTAATCAAATAAAATATAGACTAAAATAAATTTAAATATCTACAATAAGTCTAGACTTTATCTTTTTTTTTATTATAAATTTCATTTTAATCCATAAAACTAATCAAATTTTATATCTCATACATATATATATGTTGATTGTCAAACAAAGTTCATTTAGTTCTGAATTTAAACAGATCATTGTTGCTCTCACTGATCGCCTACATATACAATGCATACAAAGGCATATCGAATGTTGATAAATCCAAACAAAACAATGGAAAGAGAGAAAGTGGTGTGCTTTGTCGCCAATATTTAACAACATACGATCGATGAAGGTGCACTCTTTCTCATGCCACTTATCACGAAAAGAAAAGAAAGAAAGAGACAGAGGAAAAAAAAAACTTTTGCATTTTTCAAACCCTCCTGTCTATTTGAAGTAGATCAGATTTCGTAGCATTGATGATTAGAAGAGAGAGAGAGAGAGAGAGAAGAGAAGTGTGTCTCTCACTGTCTAATTGAGGATGCTTTTTTCTCTTCTCTCTTCTGAACACCTGTTCAATTTGAATACGCTTGACGATTTAAAATGAAACAAAAAAAAAGAAACATTCGTCTGATAAGAATGATTTGAAAAAGAGAGAGAGAGATCAATTAATTCCACCGACAAACTCTCATACAAAGATCATAATTGATTTTCAAATGATGCGTACATGTTCTCTTGTTTTATCTTTTGTATATGTGCACCTGCTGTGTATGTTTGTGCCATTCGCTAGTTGCCGCTCTATGATTAGACATAGTAATCGGTCCGTTCTTTTTTTTTTCTATTACAATTCTAAGCGTGAATATCCACACGAGTGGGTGACGTTTTAATTACGATGCACACACATCATCTTCATCATTGCTTCATCGTCTTATCCTATATGGTACTACACTAGCAATGGCGAAAGAACAGGCTAGATCGAATGTCTCTCTCTCTCTCTCTCTCTCTCATTTTTTTTTTCTTTTTTTAGCCTGCTTGCATGTTTGAAATTTGATCTACTACGTTGTCGTCATCTTAGCAGTTGAATGAGAAAAGTGGGACGGAACCGAAGAAAAAGTCGAGAAGAAATATGATGTGTATGTAATAGACAAAAAAAAAAGAAAAATTTGTGTACTAAATAATAAATCATCATCAGTAGTAGAAAAGCAAAAAGAAAAAAAAACGTCTAACTGACCAATTAGAATGCCTAACGATAAAATTACCAACCAATCAGGCAATAAAGGATGCGCCTATATGTTTCTTTTCCTCTTCTTCTTTTCTTCTTCTTCTTTTCTTTTTCTTCTGCTTCGTCTTCTACTTCTGTATTATACTTACTCAAGATCTTACTGCTTATCGTCTTCGCCGTTGTCGTCGTCACTCAATTAGTATTGACATATCGAAACTCACAAAGACAGAAAAAAGATAGGTATGTAAAAACAAAATAAAAGATGATATCGATGCATCAAACTGGGTGGATCGAATTTGATATCCATATATTCATTGTCATTGAAGGTGAGAAGTAATGAGGCATTATGACCTAAATGTTACTTAATTCAAGTTTGAATCAGAGTAAAAACTTCATCAATTTCTTTTTTCTTTTCTTTTTTGTTCTTCATTAAGTTAGTTTTCACAATAAATTCTCAATAGAATTCATGTTTTTGTTTTCATTCATGTGTAATACGTAAGAGAAATGATTGACAGTTTAGTTGTTTTTTTAACGCCGCTGTGATGAATATACACATTAAGTGGATGTGTCCGTTCTTTTTGAACATCAAAAAAAAGCAAACGTTCTTCAGTTGTGTCAACAATAGAGTCAGTCAAATCTATTGTATATATTGATGATGATGCCAACATATACAGACACACGGTATCGACAAACAAACAAACAAATTATATATTGTCGTTCTGTCCTTTGATGCCTTTCACCATATAACCATCGAGTCAGACAGACACCCACTCATTGTTGTAGCCGAACGAGTCCATTATGCGGAACACATACCTGTATATACTAACGAAATGGCAACACGTCGTAATCTTAGATTCCGCATCAAATCAAGGACACAACGACGACGATGATGATGATGTCGGGCTCGAGGTGTTTTGTGTATGCGTATATATATAAAAGTGTGATAGATACATATATGTGTGTATATATATACAAAAAAAAGAGAGAGAGAGTAAGTGTGTGTACAAATGCATAATTGAGCGGAAATAATGTTTTCACACCAGCAGGGGCGGAGAAGATGGATTTTCCTTAATGCTTACTCAAACACACATGGTAACCAAATAGAAACGAAAGAAGGATTACATGTCGATCTTATACTTTACACTCTAGTACGGTCGATTGCTTTGTCTAGACAAGAGGTGAACATAGAAGAAGAAGAAAAAAAAAACGGGAAATGTTCGCTTAGGGGATAAATAGAAAGAATCTATTTATCAATAACTCATTTGCATATTTTGTACCCATAGAAATGTTCTTA